GCTTCACAAAAGCATTCTTTTTTTTTAATGATTTATCTATTTATTTGAGAGAGAGAGTATGTGAGCAAGTGGGGGGAGGGGCAGAGAGAGAGAAACTCAAGTAAACTCCCTGTGTTTGGAGAGCCTGACTCGGGTCTCAGTCCCATGACCCATGAGATCATGACCTGAGCCAAAATCATGAGTCATATGCTCAACTAACTGAGCCACCCAGATGCTCCCCAAATATTCTTAAAATATAAAACTATATACAAATATAAAAATATTAAGAGTCCTTAAGTTATAAAGGCACAGAGCATAGAGGCCCAGTTAAAATATCTCTCAGTAGTTGTTAGAACAAAATCCAATTTTCTTTGGTATTTTGTTACAGGGTTATTATATGCATAGTAGCATAATCTGATTTTTTTAGTTCCACGTTTTCCCCCTTTCTGCTATCCATAGACATGGTTCCCTATATCTATTGTAAGACCTTTCTGTGTCTGTGAAGCTGCCTCCTATTACTGTTGCTTCTGTGTTTTACTCTGTTCTCCATCACTTTTTCAGAGTCTAGCTCCATTTGCTGAAGAGTTCTTGTCTGGTTGATGTATAGCCTTATTACTCAGGCTTGACTTCTGTGCCCTTGGAAGTCTGGAAACCAATAGGTAACCTGCTGACTGTTTAGATTACCATTAGTGGTTTCTTTGGCACCAACCTTTAACTGACTCCTCACTGTACCTGCTTATGCTGCTAGTTAGGCTCTTGCTGTCTGATGACTGCCCCCTAAGTGTACCTTTCTACTTATCACCTAGAGTCCCCATCAGGCTCAAGTCAGGAATCTTCTCTCTGTGCCAGTTGAGCCAATCCAGTGTGTGGACTGATCTGCTCACTTATTTTTGGGGACCTGACTACTCTCAACTCTTGAAGAATTGCAGCATGCAGAACTGCCTCTGTTTTCAGCAGGTGTGGCTCCAAAGGATTGTTCATAAGTTCACGTGTGTCCCTTCAAGAAAATGACCCCAGATGGGTTACTGCTGTTGCCATCTGCTGGTGGTAGACAGAGTTGGCACAGGGTGGGTCTGTTGCCTAGTTTGGTCATATTTAGGGAAGGTCTCAAATTAAAATCTTACATAGAAGAATGTCTACCTATGATGTATTTGCAATTTGTTCTCTTTTATCTCTTTCAGCCACATTGACCTTCTTCCTGTTTGTCCAATATACTCACCTCATTTCCCATTTCATGTCCTCCTTAGGACCTTTACATTTGTTGTCCCTTCTTAGAACACACTTCAACAAGTCTTTGGATGGCTGGGTTCAAACATTATTTACACCTCAGGTGAAATGTGATTACTTCACGAGGCCTGCCTTGACCGCACTGCACCAACCTCATCCATCAATTACTCTCTTACTCAGTTGTATTTTCTTTGTAGAACTTACTGTTCACTGAATTTCTTTCATTCATTTACTATTTAATGATTGACCTCCTCCTCCTGCATGCACCCCATAGGAATGTAAGTGCCATTAGAGCAAGGGGTAAGGAGAACTCGAGGGACAGAACAATTCTTATATTGAGCGAAGGAGATGTTAAATAAATACTTGTGTCCATGAATGCAGATGTACCTCTGACTGCCTGTGGAAATCCCACTGGCTTTTGTTGTCCTTCTTAAATAATAACTCTTGGGAACTTCTCCAATGAGACATTTTCTCTCTCTTTTACAGCACTTTTTATTCTTTCTATTATTTCTAATTTTATGCAGTCACGTCCCCATTCTGAGATTAAAATGTAGTGGAAATAGGGATCATACCAATTTATTTTATTACACATCTTAGACTTAAGGACACAGCAAGTGGCGAGAAGATACTCATGAAATGATGAGTACATGACAGTCAACCATATTATAAGACTGCCAGTGATTTTATTCTTTTTTCTTATTATGAAATATGTAAAGCATACAGAAAGAAACAGTAATATTACAAATAATATCCATGCACAATCACCTGCTTTAAAAAAATTAATATTAAAGACAGATTTGAAATCCTTTTGTGACCATCTGCAGTACTGGCAGTATTTGGTCATCTGAATGACCAAATATGTATTTCTCATATACATTTGATATGTATTTCTCAAATGTATCTGATGTTCCTACCCAGTTTTTGGCTTAGAGCTTCCAAAACCCTTGGAATTTCCTAAGGGTTTTAATGTCTTTGTTATGTTAATGTTGGTATCTTTGTCAGGTTAATGAGGTGGCTTTTGGAATCCACCTAAAGATGGGGGCAGATCTGATCTTGCTGTGGACCCAATCACATGATTAGGGAGTTGGAACTTTTAGTCCTGTCCTCTGGCCTACACCTCCTGGGAGGGGAAAAGGGCTGGAGATTGAGGTCAGTTCTCAAAGACCAAAGATTTAGTCAGTTAGGTCTGTGTAACAAAGTCTCTGTAAAAACCCCAAGGGATGGAGTTCAGAGAGCCTCCCTGGTAGTGAACAGAAAGATTTTGGGAGAATGGTGCATTCTAAGAGGGCATGGAAGCTTCACACCCTTTGTCAGTATCTTGCCCTATGCATCACTTCCATTTGGTTGTTCCTGAGTTATATCCTTTTATAATAAACTGGTAATCTAGTAAGTAAAAACATTTTTCCGAGTTATGTGTGCCTCTCTAGCAAATTAATCAAACCAAAGGAGGTGGTTGTGGGAACCTCTGATTTATAGCCAGTCAGTTGGAAATACAGATAACAACCCGGGCTTGTTCCTAGCATCTTAAGTGGGGCTACAGGATGGTCTTGTAGGACCGAACCCATAACCTGTGGAATCTGATGCTATATCCGGGTAGATAGTGGCAGAATTGAGTTGAATTCTCATATTCTCTGGTGTCCAGGAATTGCTTGGTGGTGTGGAAATCCTCTCCAACCCTGTGCTGAAATGGAGTCCATGAACCTAAAAGACTGTCCCTCAACCCCTTTCTGCCCTTTCTTTCTTGAAGCAATCATGATTCTGAATTTGGTGTTCATCATTCCTGTACATGTGTGATTGTATGTGCATTTTGCCACTACTATCTGGGCATGTGTGTGAGTGTCCATTTATAACATATGGAATTAGTCTGCTTATTTTTGAGTATCATATAAGGGTCAATTTACACCTTACTTGTTCCCTCAACATTATGTTTTTCAGATTATCCATATTGATTTATATAGGATAAGAATCTAGGGGTAAGATTGCTGTGTAGTATTCCTCTATTTTAACTATTGTATAGTTTCTTTCTCTACTATCTTATTAAAAGGCATTTGATTTTCCCTTTTCATTCTCCTTTTTTTTTTTTTTTTTCAGATTTTATTTCTTAGAGAGAGAGAGAGAGAGCATGAGCAGGAGGGCAAGAGGCAGAGGGAGAGGGAGAAGCAGGCTCCCGGCTGAGCAGGGAGCCCAAAGCAGGACTAGATCCCAGGACCCCAGGATTATGACCTGAGCCGAAGGCAGATGCTTAACCTTAACTGACTGAGCCACTCAGGCACCCGTCCTCTTTCACTCTTAAAAACAATACTGGGGCGCCTGGGTGGCTCATTGGTTAAGCAACTGCCTTCCGCTCAGGTCATGATCCTGGAGTCCCAGGATCGAGTCCCGCACTGGGCTCCCTGCTCGGCGGGGAGGCTGTTTCTCCCGCTGACCTCTCTCCTCTCATGCTCTCTCTCTCCTCTCAAATAAATAAATAAAATCTTAAAAAAAAAAAAAAGCAAAAACGATACTGTAGCAAACATTGTTGTGCCACTTTTTTCTCAGCATCCCAGGTAGTTCCTCTAGGGTTATTGGGAGTTGGAGCTTTTGGGTCAGAGACTGAAAACATTATGTTGTGATTAAGAGCAAGGCACTGGAATTGGGCTCCCTGGGTTTGAATCCTCACTCTGCTACTTCCTGGTTTTCCTGAGAAAACTTCTCTTCCCGAGAAGCTATGAGCAGCAGCTACGTAGAGCCCTTGTGAACACACACACCCTACCCAACCCCTGGCATCACGCAGTCATCTTGGCTTAGGTCTTTGGCTCTGGTAGATCCTGCTGGAGCCCGTGTCCCGCAGGAATGTGGCTTCACACACAATGACTGCTTTGCATTTCTGTACCATTTCTGATCCATGAAGAGGTTTATTTTCAAGCCTGGAGATATTTTTTAGTTTTCCCTTTTAATATTTTATCACTCCTATGTGTTTGGAGCCGAGGGAGTACATCAAAGCATGAACTTATTGTGTCACCTTAACCAGAAGTTGATAATACCTCTGCAGCCTTTCAAAATAAGCACACATCTTAGTATCATCTAATCATAGATTTTTGGAGCTGGTAGGGATTTTAGAGATAATGAAGGCCAATAACCTTATTTTATAGGTGAGGGAATTGTGGTCTTGAGAAATTAAGTGATTTACCGAGGTCATATATTTAGTTAATGGTGGAGGGCAGGACCAGAACCAAAGCCTGCGGACTCCCTCAGTAGTCCTTTTGCCAGTTTCCACTATTGCAGTCTTGTCTAAGCTGTATTTGCATGCAGCATTTTATTTTTAACAGAACTCAAAAAATACAGGAGCATCTCTGCAATTAGAAAAATGACACATCGCACTTTTAAACTGATAGATGTTTTCTCTCCAAAAAATTTGAGGTAAAAGAGAGTACAGTATTCACTGCTTTGGGTTGAATATATTTTCATTAGAAGGCACAATACCTTTTGACTCTGTAGATTTCTGCTGCATTTGGTTTCCTTGACTTCCTGAAACTTATTAGGATGGGCCCATCAATAATGGTGCTGATACTTCCAGCCTCCTCCAACACTGGGTCTGAAAATGAACAGTGATGAATGGATATGGCCAGCGTGTACAGTGATAGCCTATATTTCTGCTGTCTTGTAGAAATGGCAGGTAGTTTAATTTAGAAAAAAAAATTACTGAGAAAGAGCAAATATTCCCTTTCATTAGGATTTCTGGACTTTTCTAGGATATGAATTTAGAATCTGATATGTCTGTTAAAGACTTTGGAATTGTTTTATTCTATTTCTAGATCTCTTAGCTGTGCCTAAGCATCCGTACGCTGCTATGGAGAACTGGGGACTAAGTATTTTTGTGGAGCAAAGAATACTGCTGGATCCCAGTGTTTCATCTATTTCTTATTTACTGGATGTCACCATGGTCATTGTTCATGAGATATGTCACCAGGTAGGAGAAAAAGGATCAGGTGTAAGTATGACTGCAAACTATTGAGAATGCAGAATGATTTCAGATACTTAGATTAGGAACTACATTATTACCCTCCCAATTAAGTTTTAATTAGGTAGAGAGCGCTGTGCCGTTCTTTTCGGAGGGTATGTCATTTTTCTCAGCTGACGGCACAAACAAAAGCAAACACACTGATGATATTGAATAAGCAACTGTCATTCAGTGTAGTTGAGGAGTGAGAGGGAACAGACACCCAGCAGCCTCTTCTGAGACCCTATCCGGTCCTGGGTCCTTGTCAACCTTGCTTTATTTCCTTGTGATTATTGGTGTGTATGTATGGTAAGTGCAGCGATGGCAGTGATTTATTGCGTTGCTGCAAGATGCAGCTGAGTTTTGTGTACGTGTCAAAATTTGCTTTTGCTGAAATCAATTTGTTATTCCCTTTTTCCCATCACATAGACACTTAGGAAGTCTTTCACTAACTCAGCCATAGACTCTTTGTTCTCTAGTGATTGATATTTTTTTTGTCTTGGCATGTTTAGAAATTCATATGTAAATTAGCCAACTTTGTAGTGAAGCAAAGAAAATTAATTTCATTTTGATTTTATGCACTTTCTTACAACGAGTGGAAGGTATTACAGAGATTTTGCAATGCTTATTTGAATCTTGATTCTAGTTTAAAAAAAAAAAGACAAAACAAAATAAATGTTCATGCTAATGGAAAGCAGTACCTCTCCTGGTGGGTATGGATGGTTTTAAATTAAACCACTGGAAATCTCATTGCAATACTGTATGGCTTCTATTTCTTAGGAACCCAAAACCTTTTTAAAAAGATGGAAAAACTCAAGAAGGAATTATGTGGAAAATGCTGTCAGCAAAAGAAAGTGAAATGCTAAATGCTAATACATGAACACTGACTTAATGATAAATTGGTTCAGGCCATGAGGCCATTTCCCTCAATGTCATCCTTCCGCAAGTACACCTATACGATGTTTCTGTCTGTCCTGCTGGCCAGGTCAGGCATGTGTCCCTTGCCCCAGAGATGTAAGAGGATCCATTGCACAGATAATCAGGGCTCCTCCAACATGCTAAAGAGGAGGCTTTCCAATGAAACACAGTAATTCTTAGAGGCATAAGCAGCTTCCTTTTTGCAGATTCCTAGAAACAGTTTACTTATATAGTCTGTTGAAATAGAAGTACATTGATGATGTTATCTTTGTTCCTAGAACTGGATTTTATTTGTTCCATATTCTATGTTACTTTCTTGTTATAACTTATTGGTGCTAGGCTACTTACCATGGGAAGATGGACCAGAGGCTGGGAAAAACAGAATTTCCATTCTCATTACCAAGTTATTTTCTGCATTACCCTCTCTTCTCACCTATGCATTGTCATGATTTTCAAGACAGGCTCTCAGTTTAAAGGAGAAACATCCATTTTTGATTAAGAATAAAAATGATTTTAAATATCATTTATTTTGTGGTCATTAATGTTGAGTTATTGCTTATTTGTATTTTAGTTCGAGATCCTTTTGAGTAACTGATTCTTTATTATTGATACCGAAACCCTCAGTCACCAAGCTCTTTCCTGGAGCTCCTAAAGCTATACCTGACCTGATAACTGTTCTTTTTCTCCTTCAGTTTCTTAAATATCTTGTTCCCACTTAGGCTCTTCACACTAAGTGTTGCTTACATCTGCCTGGAATCTTCTTCCCAAGGCTTTCTCCTTACCGGTTCCTTCTTATCGTTAAAGTCTAAGCTCAACTGTCAATGGCTTAGAGAGGGCATTTTTGCTTTGACAGTCAAGAGTGGCTCTTCCCCCATTCCTGTCACATTTTATTAGGATTTGAAATTGTGTTGTTCATCTGCTTATATATTTTTTATTTTGTACCTTACCTCATTACTCCTGTCTCCACAATAAAGCATCAGCTGTACAAGAAGGGACATTTCCTAACTTTTCATCATCACACCCAAGGTCCTCAGGATCACTCTAAGCATATAATGTTTTTGTTTTTATTTTTAATGGAAAAAAGAATTTCTTTAACTTTTTGCTGAACTAAGCGAGGATTTCGGAGTGGCGCATCATGAGTTAATTAAAACACCAGTTAACAATGACAGCATTATTGGGACACCTTGGTGGCTCTGTCAGTTAAGCGTCCAACTCTTGGTTTCAGCTCAGGTCATGATCTCAGAGTCTTGAGAGCAAGCCCTGTGTCCAGCTCCAGGCTGGGCATGGAGCCTGCATAAGATTTGCTGTCTCCTTCTCCCTTTGCTCCTCCCCCCACTAGTTTCTCTCTCTCTCTCTCTCTCTCTCTCTCAAAATAAATAAATAAATAATAAATAAATAAATAAAAATAAAAATAAGACATTATTTTTCATGAAGGCATTTTAGAGATATTTTTTTGCTCCAGCCCTTTGTTATCACAAGATCATAGAGAGACTGAAGGTCCTCAGTTTCTTCAATCAGCCCATGTCTTCTTTGAGTTGTCTGTGCTGTTGGAAGGCAATGCTTCAATACGTCCTGTGTTGAGTTGCTCACCACTTGAGGCAGTATTCTCCATCTTTGGCCATCTCATTCCATTAGAGGGTCTCCTATATTTTCAGCAGACATCTACCAACCCTGATTTCCATCCGTTAGTCCTTATTTGTACCTTGTAGGGCCACAAGACACAAGTTTCTTTGTCTTCTGTGTACTAGACCTCCATATATTTGAAAATAGCTATCATCAGTTTTTTCTCCTGAGTTTTTTCTTCTCCAGCTTAAATACTCTTTTTGTATTCTTGGTCATTATATTTTTGTTCTTCCCTGAATACATTTACCAAAAAACCCCCACAAAAACAAAAACAAAAAACTCATGTCACCAAGTGATTGAACAAATCAGTAGTCTTGCCACAATACGTTTTAAGATCATGAATTCCAGTTATGATAGTCATAGTTTAATACACTTAATTTTAGATGAAATAATTCTGGGATAAATTTGATTCGATCTGATGCTCATTCATTTTTCAATTGCAGTGGTTTGGTGACCTTGTGACTCCAGTATGGTGGGAAGATGTGTGGCTGAAGGAAGGTTTTGCTCACTACTTTGAATTTGTTGGCACAGACTACCTCTACCCTGGCTGGAATATGGTAGGTGCACTTTTTTTAGTTGTTTGGACTTCCTAGCGAAAGGTTGGTCTCATATTATATTATCATTATCTTATATAATCATTATATTATATTATATTAGCATTATATTATATTATCATTAGAGCTTATATTTGTATCTTACCTCATTCCTCCTGTCTCCACAATAAAGCTTATATTTCATTAGAGCTTATATTATCATTATATTATCATTAGAGCTTATATTATCATTAGAGGTGACTGAAAATACCCTCTGGAAAAAATCACATGTCCCATAAAGAAAAAGTAACCAAAATTTAAATTTAACTTAAATTGGAAATATTCCAAAAGACTTCTGTTTTATTTATTAGAGCTGAATAGAGTTTAATTGGTTATAAGTTGATTTCAAGATGGTATAGCTTTTCTTATAGAAATATCTTAAATTGTTACATTTGAGAACAAAGAAAAATTCTTTAAGATGGAAAAGGTAACAGTAGTTAATAAGTAATATTTTAAGTGTAAAGAGTATTTCAGTATATATAAAAATGAGACCTTAATATTTCTTCATTGTGACTAATATTTGCTTATTTATAAAATACATTATAGTTGTAGATATACTTTAGGATCAAATAACTTAGTAAGATGTCATTAACTTCATGAGGAGTTATACACGTTATACCTGTATGCTAAGAATGTATCTGTCTGGGGTTGCCTGGGTGGTTCAGTAATTAAACATCTGCCTTGGGCTCAGGTCATGTTCCCAGGGTCTTGGGATTGAGCTCCACACTGGGATCCCTGCTTGATGGGAACCCTGCTTCTCCCTCTCCCACTCCCGCCTTGGGTTCCCTCTCTCGGTGTCTCTCTCCATGTCAAATAAATAAACAAAACCTTTAAGAAAAAAAGCCCCCAAAATGTATCTGTCTGAACCTGAAGTCGGATTTGTTGTCCTTTAAGCAATGATGGTTCTAGAACATCCTAAAAGAAAAAGTGGAGGGAAGGCATGGTTTTTATGTGTCTTTTAATATAAGGTTTTCATTTTATATATGCTTTTGTTAATCAATAAGTAACTATGTTATTATTAAATGAAACCCGGGATGTATGTTGTTTTGGAACTTGAATTTTAAATTTAATTTAAGTGATACTGTGTAAAAGTTGCCAAGTACTAACATTTGTTGGCTTCCAGAAGCTCATATCTCACCCGCGATATATCATAAACAATAACATATATTTATTTTACTTTGCTGTTTTTTGATGTTTAAATTATTAATAGTGATTATCTAATTATCTGTCATAATTATGAGTATGTTTTGAAGAGTTAAACCAAGGTGAAATATGAAGGTGTCTGTAAGTCATGATATAACTACTTTATCATCAGTTCAGCCAACTTCTGCTACATAAAAATAATGTGATCTTACAAATCTCACAGGGAACCATGACAATAGTAACATCATATTGATATGTTTTTATTATGTTCATGCAGTTTTTGTCCTTATTTTGTAAAAGCAACATGGGCCATTTCCTCAAACAATGAGATACTTTTACTTAACCCTCTGTAACTAGGTGCTTCTGCATATATGACACGATTCTAAAAATCTTACTGCTTTATCATGGCAGTGAAAATGCCTTTAAAGAACTATAAGAAAAATCACCAATACTGTATACTATTAATTATTTAAAGTATTCTTGTAACAAATGTGAAATTTTAAAACCAGAATGTTTAAAGATATTGAAAATATTCCCCAAGTTCCTCCAAATATCTTTTGATTTTTACATGACTTTTAACCAACTTTGTTTAATATTTTCATTATGCTGTGGATTATTACTGATTTACAATTTCATTATGTTTCAATATTAAAAAAAAATGACCTAAATACAAGTGACATGCTACTCATATAGGTAAGCTTTTTTTTTTTTTTAAAGTTGATTCAGCCATCTATTGTAAAACCCTTTCTAGTCATCATTATGAAAAATACATCTTGGATTAAAAAGTAATCAACAGAATTATACATGGGCTGAAAACTGACAGCCTTTGTTGGTTTTGGCATGGCAATATCCCAAGTCTCAATGTCTTTATACTGATTTTGTCTCTGAATAATTTTTTTGTGCTCTTTCATCATTTTTATCAGTTAAGTTATAAATGTAGGCCTTCTGGAGAACATATTTATAAGGTGTATTGCAAATGAACATAAAGTATAAATAACCCACCTGGGACTTTGTTTTTAATAGAATACAGACCATGAACTGAAAGTATAAAAACCCTGGGGTGGTAAGGTACAAGATTTTTATTTCCTATAAATCCATATTTCATAATTAAAAAATGAGAATTAATGATGTTATAAGTACAGTGATATAGGAAGCTCACCTTATTAAACTAATAAATGGAAGAATAAAATCCATTACAGTTAATTAGGCAACAGTGAGGAAGTACAGGTCTTATCATGATGTCTCTTTATGTTCAGATTGTAAAGATTATAAACACTTTCTGATCTCTGATTGATTTTGCTTTTTGGTAGCTATATTTAGAATACCTCATTGTACTAAATTCAAAAAACCTATGAGAAGAAATTATAAACAAATTGCTCCTCTCTATATCATTAATATCTTCTTTGCAAACGAAATTTTAAGAGTAAGTTAGCCCCATAGATAAGAGGATATTAAGTAACTTTCAGGCTCTGCCAGCACTATTTTTCATAATGGCATCAGCAGGAGTGGAAGAAATACTAGAAAGAATAAGAGTGACGGCTGCGTCAGCAGTAACTCATACTGTTGTGATATGTGCAAAAGCTTACCTAGGAGTGCAGGGCTGGGGCTTCACTAGAGCTTAGCCTAAAATAGAAAAATCAGAAGTCAGACTCATTTCAGGAGTAAAGGAATTCAGGAAGCTGACCCCTTTTGTCTCTAATCTCAAAAACAGTGCTTTTATCATTTTGACACACCAAGTCTAGAGCTCTAAAGTACAATTTCAATTTGCTACGGTGATTGTTACGACAAACTACCTTCAATGGAATAGCAATAAAGAAGCCCAGAATTACATAATCTTGTCAAGGAAGTCCTTGTTCTGATTTAGGCCAGTATATTTGCTTAGTCTGCTTAATTAGTTAGTAAAATCTTAGATTGTGCGTGTGTGTGTGTGTGTGTGTGTGTTCAGAGCCAGTTGCTGATACAGAAGTAATCAGTTTTTATATTAGAAACACTCCATGGAATAAAAACTGTTACGATAGTTTTGTTCCCAACAAACTAATCAAGTTTACCATTTTATAGATATGGGCCTTTGCAGGTGCTATGATGGAAGGTCCGGGGAATGGACTGGAAAGAAGAAATTCAGATTCCAGGAAAGGTGTTTCACCGCTCTGTTTCTTATCATTTGAAAAATGGGGGCAATTGTCCTGACTTATCATGCTCACAGGATTTTTGTGAAGATAAAATAACTTGCAAGGTCTTTGAAATGTATGAGCCACTATACAAATGTGAGTCGGCATCATGTACTTGGAAAATAAATGCTCCATTAGAAAGGGGCATTGATTTTATGTATAGATGCCCTAACATTTCCAAGCCCAGTCATCTGTTTTGACACCCTAGATTTATAACAATTATGTAGAGATTACAAAATAATTTTTATAATCCTTGTACCTGGACTCAGTCTCACCAAATCAATTCTTATCTATACTGGCAATGTGGATTCTTCTGTAGGAACATAAGCCTTGTATAATATTTCATTCATCAAACAGAAGTGTCAAGATCATCAGAAGCAACTTCTTCAGCTCAGGGCTAAGGATGCATTTCAGGGGCATGTAGTCCTTTTGCTTGACGCTATTTCATCAGAGTTGGCTGTTAGTGACAATGTTATTGGATGGATCAAGTTACAGTATGATAGCAATGGCAGTTGTATTAAATCTCACTATGTTCCCTGGAACGGGAGGAAAAAAAGGGAAGACTCACTCAACATAGTTACTATTCTTCAATAATTCTTGACCATTTTAATGTGAAATAAACTATGATAAAGGACTTTTAGTACAAGGAAAGTATGCATGGTAAAATGCTACTTTGAACTCCTTATTTTATAGGCCTAGTGCTGATGCAGGCCAAATCAGATCTCCTCTGTAGATAGCATACGTTTACATTATAGTTTGTATCTATATTGTAGTCATGTCCTTTAGTTTCCTGAATATAGCATTATAAAGACGTGCTTCTATAATGAGAATTATTAAACATGAGTGTATGTTCCTTTGTTAAATGAATTAGGATTCTCTGGAGCTGTACACGGCAATAACTCTGTATGCTGATAAAGTCTGCAGACTGGGAATTCTCCCTAAATTTTTATGAGGACACATACCTGGGCATAAAGATAACTACTAATGGAGAATCATGCAACTAGATTTCATTATGCTAAATACTTAAGATAATCTTAAATTGTATTACCCAAAACCTTGAGAAGTGTTCTCAATTGTCTCTGTCCTGGATAGGGCTGAAATAGTAAAAATGAATTCTGCCATTAGACTTAGTATCATTTTAATGTCCTCCAACAAAAATTGCCTGCCTAAGTTAACAGGCACTGTGATAAAATTATCTTTCCTTTTTAAATTATTTTATTTTTACTCAAAAAGAAGTTGAGAAAATCACTGATGAACTGAAATAGAGTTGATTGAGTTCAATGTTTTTTCCAGTTTAAAAGTAAAGATAAACTGCTTCAGCATTCCAAATAATAATATATACTCTACCAGTTTGGGCGGAACAGAACGGTAGAAAGAAAACATCTTGGTTTTGGTTAATATTTTACTGGTTCAGGTCTTTGTTTCTCAATTCCATACTTGACTTAATGTCTGTAGGGAAAAATTCTTTGGCGTTCTTTTAAAAATTAGTTAATAGACGTTACAATAATAGTTGGTATATTGATGGTATAGTCTGTACTTCATCAGTATCAAAGTATATTTGCCCAGTAGGTCTATGGGGTCACAGATAGATCACTTGGAAATTAAATATGTATTTTAGAATCTTACTTTACAAATACTGAATACCAAATGAAT